CTGGTCCTGGGGGGGCCCCCCCGCGACCCCCACGAGCTGCGGCGCCTCATGGAGGGGGGGCTCGACCCCTGAGACCCCCCCCGGCACCCCAACATCGTCCCTGTCCCCACAGTGTCACCCCCAAACCCCCCCAAAAACATCAACACGCTCCCGGTGCTCAACCAGACCTCGGGGTTGTGGGGAGGGGGCTTGGACCCCCCAAATCTTTGTGGGGAGGGGGCTTGGACTCCCAAATATTTGTGGGGAGGGGGCTTGGACCCCCCAAATCCTTATGGGGAGGGGGCTTGGACCCCCCAAATCTGTGGGGAGGGGGCTTGGACCCCCCAAATCTTTGTGGGGAGGGGGCTTGGACTGCCAAATCTTTGTGGGGAGGGGGCTTGGACCCCCCCAAGTCCTTCTGGGAGGGGCTTGGACCCCCCAAATATTTGTGGGAGGGGGCTTGGACCCCCCAAATCTTTATGGGGAGGGGGCTTTGATCCCCCAAATCTTTATGGGGAGGGTCTCGGACTCCCCAAATCTTTATGGGGAGGGTCTTGGAGCCCCCAAATCTTTATGGGGAGGGGGCTTGGACTCCCAAATCTTTGTGGGGAGGGGGCTTGGACCCCCCAAATCTTTGTGGGGAGGGGGCTTGGACCCTCCCAAATCCTTCTGGGAGGGGCTTGGATCCCCAAATTTTCGTGGGAAGGCTTTGGAGACCCCAAATCTTTGTGGGAGGGGGCTTGGACCCCCCCAAATCTTTATGGGGAGGGGGCTTGGACCCCCAAAATATTTGTGGAAGGGGGCTTGGACCCCCCATATATTTGTGGGAGGGGGCTTGTACCCCTAAATATTTGTGGGAGGGGGATTGGACCCCCCAAATCTTTATGGGGAGGGGGCTTGGACCCCCAAATGCTTGTGGGGAGGGGGCTTGGACTCCCAAATATTTGTGGGAGGGGGCTTGGAGCCCCCAAATCTTTATGGGGAGGGGGCTTGGACCCCCCAAATATCTGTGGGATGGGTCTGGACCCCCCAAAAATCCTTGTGGGAGGGGCTCGGAACCCTCAAAATCCTTTCTGGAGGGGCTTGGAACCCCCCATAAAATTTGTGGGAGGGGGCTTGGACCCCCCCAAATCCTTCTGGGAGGGGTTTGGAATCCCCCCAAATATTTGTGGGAAGGGGTCAGAGCCCCCCAAAATCCTTATGGGAAGGGTTTGGAGCTCCCAAATTCTTACGGGAGGGGTTTGGACCCCCCCAAATCCTTGTGGGAGAGGCTTGGAGCCCCAAAATCTTTGTGGGAGGGGCCTGGAATCCCCCAGCCCCAAAATCCTCCTGGGAGGGGCTTGGAACCCCCAAATCTTTGTGGGAGGGGATCAGACCCCTCCCCAAAATCCTTGTGGGAGGGGCTTGGAACCCCCAAATCTTTGTGGGAGGGGATCGGACCCCTCCCCAAAATTCTCGTGGGAGGGGCTTGGAATCCCCAAATCTTTGTGGGAGGGGATCGGACCCCTCCCCAAAATCATTGTGGGAGGGGCTTGGGACCCCCAAATCTTTGTGGGAGGGGTGTGGACCCCCCCAAAATTCTCGTGGGAGGGGCTTGGAACCCCCAAATCTTTGTGAGATGGGTGTGGACCCCCCCCAAAATTCTCGTGGGAGGGGCTTGGAACCCCCAAATCTTTGTGGGAGGGGTGTGGACCCCCCAAAATCCTCGTGGGAGGGGCTCAGTCCCACCCAGGGGGTCCCACCCAGGGGGTCCCACCCCCCCAGGGGTGAGGGGCTCCCCCAGAGTGGGACCCCACTGCCCCCNTGGGAGGGGCTCAGTCCCACCCAGGGGGTCCCACCCAGGGGGTCCCACCCCCCCAGGGGTGAGGGGCTCCCCCAGAGTGGGACCCCACTGCCCCCCCGGACCCCCAACGCCCAGACCGGGGTCACTGCTCCGCTCTTTATTGGGGGTGGCAGCGCCCCAAAACCGACAGGAGGGGCGGGGGGGGGAGGGGTAGCGCCCCCAGACCCCCCCCGAGGGGTGGGGGTGTCCCCGGGGGGGGCCCAGGGGGGTCCCCGGGGTTTTTGGGGGGGTCACCGGATGGCGATGAGCCCCACGTCCATCAGCTTCTGGATCTTCTGGGCTATCAGGGGGTTCTTGAGGTGCCTGGGGGGGGACACGGGGGTGTCACCCAGGGGACGGGGGGGGGACAGCTGGTGGCACCTGGGGACACCCTGGGGAGACCCTGGGGACACCTGGGGAGACCTCGGGGACACCCTGGGGACACCTTGGAACTCCTCGGGACACCTTCAGACACCCTGGGGAGACCTTGGGGACACCTTTGGGGCACCTCAGGACACCCTGGGGAGACCTCGGGACACCTGGGGACACCTCAGGGACATCTCAGGACACCTTGGGACATCCTGGGGACACCTCGGGACACCCTGGGGACACCCTTGGGGCACCTCAGGACACCTTGGGACACCTCAGGGACACCTGGGGACACCCCAGGACACCTGGGGACACCTCAGGGACACCCCTGGGACACCTCGGGACACCCTGGGGACACCTCAGGGACACCTCAGGGACATCTCAGGGACATCTCCCCTTCCCCACTGGTGGCTCTGCCTGGGCTCAGAGTCACGCTGGCACTCCTTGGGCACTGCCAGGAACACTTGGGGACACCCTGGGACAGGTGGGGACAGTTTGGGACACTCTGGGGACATTTTGGGACACTCTGGGGACATTTTGGGACCTTTTCGGGACAGTTGGGGACACTTTAGGGACACTTGCAGACACTCTGGGGACAGCTGGGGACACCCTGGGGACACTTTGGGACTCACGAGCTGCTCCAGCTGGCCAATGCCACCCTGCCACCGCCTTGGGGACCCTCAGTGCCACCCCCCAGTGCTTTGGGGACCCTCAGTGTCACCCTGCCACCACCTCAGAGACCCTCAGGGACCCTTCAGTGCCACTGCCCCCACCTTGGGGACCCTTGGGAACTCTCAGGGACCCTCGGTGCCACCCCCCGGCCCTGGAGACCCTCGGGGACCCTCAGTGCCACCCCCAACCACCTCGGGTCTCTCAGTGCCACCCACCAGCCCTGGGGACCCCCAGTGTCACCTCACCACCTTGGGGACCCTCGGGGACCCTCAGTGCCACCCCCCAGCCCTGGGGACCCTCAGTGCCACCCCCCAGTGCTTTGGGGACCCTCAGTGTCACCCTGCCACCACCTCAGAGACCCTCGGGGACCCTTCAGTGCCACTGCCCCCACCTTGGGGACCCTTGGGAACTCTCAGGGACCCTCGGTGCCACCCCCCGGCCCTGGAGACCCTCGGGGACCCTCAGTGCCACCCCCAACCACCTCGGGTCTCTCAGTGCCACCCACCAGCCCTGGGGACCCCCAGTGCCACCACACCACCTTGGGGACCCCCAGTGCCACTCCCTGACCCTGGGGACCCTCATGGACCCTTCAGTACCACCCCCAACCACCTTGGGGACCTTCAGTGCCACCCCCCAGCCCCGGGGACCCCCATGGCCACTCCCTGACCCCAGAGACCCTCGGGTCCCTCAGTGCCACCCCCCCCCAGCCCTTGGGGACCCCCGGTGCCACCCCCCGTGCCCCCCCTGCCCGGGCACTGACTCGCTGAGGGCCTGGGGGTCCTTCTGCATCTGCTCCAGGATGAGGCGCATGGCCGGGTCCCCCATGATCTGCTGCACCTCGGGGTCGGCCAGGGCGCGGCGCCGCAGCTCCTCGGGGGGCTCCGAGCGCTGCTGCTGCGCCCGCAGGCAGCGCCGCTGCCCCTC